ATATGACCTGCCTCAAGAAGGCCTCAGCACCACCTCCACACAGTCCTGCCAAAAGTTCCTAACTGAATCCAAACATCAGGAACCATCAGACAACCCAATGTGAAGAGCGTGCTGCAAAGTCACTGGCCTGTCCTCTCGAAAACATCAAAGCCATGGAAGGCAAAGAAAGTCCCAGGAAGTTCTCCTGATTCACGGAGAATAAGGAGATGTTTCAATAGAGTGCATTGTGTGATCTGGGCCTTTATTCTGCTATAAAGGACATATTTTTTTTTTGAGACGGAGTCTTGCTCTGTCCCCCAGGCTGGAGTGCAGTGGCGCCATCTGGGCTCACTGCAAGCTCCGCCTCCCGGGTTCACGCCATTCTCTTGCCTCAGCCTCCCGAGTAGCTGGGACTACAGGCGCCCACCACCATGCCCGGCTAATTTTTTGTATTTTTAGTAGAGATGGGGTTTCACTGTGTTAACCAGGATGGTCTCAATCTCCTGACCTCGTGATCTGCCCGCCTCGGACTCAAAGTGCTGGGATTACAGGCGTGAGTCACCGTGCCCAGCCAAAGGACATTATTAAGACAAAGGCAGGATCCGAAAAAGGTGAGTAAATTAGATAATAGTAGTTTCCACATTAATTTCCTGATGATTGTGCTATGGCTATGTAAGAGAATATCCTCGGTTTTTTGTTTTTTTTTTTTTTTTTGAGACGGAGTCTGGCTCTGTCACCCAGGCTGGAGTGCAGTGGCCAGATCTCAGCTCACTGCAAGCTCCGCCTCCCAGGTTCACGCCATTCTCCTGCCTCAGCCTCCCAAGTAGCTGGGACTACAGGCGCCCACCACCTCGCCTGGCTAGTTTTTTGTATTTTTTAGTAGAGACGGGGTTTCACCGTGTTAGCCAGGATGGTCTCGATCTCCTGACCTCGTGATCCACCCGTCTCGGCCTCCCAAAAGTGCTGGGATTATAGGCTTGAGCCACCGCGCCCGGCCAATATCCTCGTTTTTAGGAATTCACAATGGAGTATTTAGGGACAAAGGGACATTGTGTCTGCAGTTGACTCAAACTATTCAGAAAAAAAAAAAAACACATAAGTGTGTATGTATGCATGTGTGTGTATGTAGGGAGAGGGAAAAAGATAAAACAAATGTCACATGATGCCAACATTTGGGCAGTTTGAGTGAAGAATATCTAGAACTGTTTATGTTATTCTTGAAACTTTAATTTGAAATTATGTCAAAACACAAAAAGGAAAGGAATACAGATACCTGCTTCCCAGTTTCCTCTAGAGCTAGGGGTGGCCAAGAGACACAGTTCTAGCCAATGAATTGGGGGAGAAGGCTGCTGAGGATCTTTCTGGGGATAAATTTTCCTCTGGTGAAATAAGAATGGGCTTCAAAGAGACTTCTCACTACACTGGCTGGCTCACTGCTTTAAGAATGTGAGGATGTGGTGCCAGAGCTGCAGCAGCCATCTTGTGACCATGAGGAAAAGGCCAAGAAACTCACAAAGTTTTCCCCATGTATGAGTTTCCCTGATACTGCTGCCCCACTTATTAGGTTACGTAAGATCATTCAATTCCTGTACTCCTTCAATCCCATTCATCATTCCAGGACCAGTGTCAGAACCTGTATCACTCAGGACCAGACGGACAGGGCAGCCCCCATGTCAAATATTACCAAAGGGAAAAGAGCTCCGGAGACCTTACATCGGCAATGAAGTGCTGTGGCCTAGAAATGACACGTCCCTTCCACTCACAACTCATTGGCCTTCACAGAACACAGGGCCTGGCGCTGATTCCACAATTCTTATTTTTGAGGGGTTTGCATGCCAAAGTTTTGACCCTTTTCCTCAACTATAAATTCCTCATCGTAAGTTTTTAAAGATAATGATGCCCAGACTTTTCCCCAAACTATTCAAATCATCACCTGGAGTCAGGAGTCCGAGACAAGCCCGGGCAACATGGGGAAACCCCGTCTCTACTAAAAACACAAAAATTAGCCAGACATGGTGGTGCGTGCCTGTAATCCCAGCTACTCAGGAGACTGAGGCACGAGAATCATTTGAACCTGGGAGGCAGAGGGTTGCAGTGAGCCAATATTGTGGCACTGCACTCCAGCCTGAGTGACAAAATGAGGCTCCGTCTAAAACATTAAAAAAAAATCAGAATCCCTGCGAGTAGGGCCTGGAAATCAGTATTTTACAATTCAGGTATAACATACATTTATAGTCCATAGCAAAAATTTTTACTGTACATCTCAAATATTTTTATTATGGTAAAATATACTTAACATAAAACTTGCCACTTTACCCATTTTTAAGCGTCCAGTTCAGTGGCATCAAGTACACTCACGGTGTGACGCAAAAGTTACCACCATCCATTTATAGGACCTTTTTATCATCCCAAACAAAAACTATGTACCCATCAAACATGCTCTCCCCATTCCTTCTCTCTCCCCATCCCTGAATAAGCTCTGGTCTACTTTCTGTCTCTATGAATTTGACCATTCTAGGTATTTCATAGAAGTGGAATCATACAGTATTTTTCATTTTGTGACCAGGGTCTGTCACTGATGATAATGTGTTCAAGGTTCATGCACATTGCAGTGTATGCCTGCGTGTGTGTGTGCACGTGTATGCATGTGTTCATTCCTTTTCATATAATATCATGAAATAAAATGTGTTCTGGCCGGGTGCGGTGGCCCAAGCTTGTAATCCCAGCACTTTGGGAGACCGAGACGGGCAGATCACGAGGTCAGGAGATGGAGACCATCCTGGCTAACACGGTGAAACCCCGTCTCTACTAAAAAATACAAAAAACTAGCCGGGCGTGGTGGCGGGCGCCTGTAGTCCCAGCTACTCAGGAGGCTGAGGCAGGAGAATGGTGTAAACCCAGGAGGCGGAGCTTGCAGTGAGCTGAGATCTGGCCACTGCACTCCAGCCTGGGCAACAGAGCGAGACTCCATTTCAAAAAAAAAAAAAAAAATGTGTTCTATCCCTACAATAGAATATTATTCAGCCACAAAAAGGAAAGAAGTTCCTCTATGTTCTACAGTATTCTATTGCAGGGATAGAACACATTTTATCATTCATCAGTGACAAACGCTTGGGTTGCCTCCGCCTTTTGGTGATTGTGAATAACGCTGCTACAAACATTAGCATACGAGCATCTGTTTGTGTCCTGGCTTTCAGTTCTTTTAGGTATATACCTAGTAGTGCAACTCCCGGCTCACAGGGTAATTATGTTTAACTTTCTGAGGGACCACCAGCATGTTTCCACAACAGATGCACAATTTACATTCCCACCAGCAAGGCACCAGGGTTCCAGTTTTTCCACATCCTCATCAAAGCCCAGTTGTTTGGTACACATATATGAACTCAAGTAACCACCATGTAGATAAAGACATATAACATTTCCTGCACCCCAGAAGGTACCCTCATGAGAACCGGTATTGTTGCAAGCTCCCCAGCAGCCAGGGTCAAGAACCATGCCCTAAACTTTTAGTGGTTCTATCTCTGGCAAGGCTGGCTAACACTCAACCTAAAAATAAACCTCGAGTCTGAAAATGGAACATTAAAAATGACATTGTCACCTTGACAGAGTGGCTAATAACGCTCCAGCGGGCAGGAGCCCATCAATCATAGGCCTCTGCCTTCTGTGTGGAGAGCTGAGGAAGATGCCAAGATGGAAAGGAGGGATGCAGCACAGGACAAGCCAGGGTGGCTGCCTGGGCACAGAAATCCCAGCCCACACCTTCCCAGGCCTCTCCCCAAACTGGGAACAAGAAATCTAGCAGCCAGACAGAAGCACTGCCTTCCCTGAATTCAATTTGCAAGGTCAATCATGTAAGAACCCAGGCCTAATAGAATTGTCACATCTGTGTCACGGTCATTTACAACGCACTCTTGCCGCGTCTGAACATGAAAGCAATTATGTGATACATACTTTGGCAAGAACCTGAGGTTCCCATCAAGAGGGAGAGAAACACTGTCAAGTCAGGTTATTTAAAGAAAGAAAGAACGAAAAGAACGAAAGCTACAAAGACACATTCATTATGAAAATTTGAAAATTTCCACTTCCCTAGAAATCACATAAGAAGACTTAAGAGTCGGAATCCTTTTGAAAGCTCCATTGTCTTAAAAGTATAAATAGCATCTTTTTAGAAACACACAATTTCAATCAAGCTGGAATAATGGGAAGTACCATTCATGGAACGTTGTCTTTTAAAATTTCATGACACATGAAATGATTCTCACTCCAAATCTAATTAGAGGCTCAGGCATATGAGAGTTTGTGACAACGTCAAAGCGCTTGGAAAACGTACATGTAATTGATCTTCTTCACTGGGGTATGATTTCTTTTAATCAATCTAGAGATTCAGGAAGTACCCAAAGAAAGGACCATGAGAAACAGGGTTATCAAAAGAGGGAGTCTCTCTATCCTTCTTGGGAGCTCTTTCCAAAAGGGCTGGCCCTAGCCCATGGGACCTTGGGCAAGTTTCTTGAACCTGAGCCTTATTCCCCATCTTCAAAAGAGGGATAATGATAACCCTACCTCCTAGGGTTATAGTCAGGATCGTGGCCCTGGAACAGCGCCCAGCATACAGTATGTACTACAGCAATGTTAGCTATTATTGGCACCAAGTGGCTAAGCCCTAACGGCTCAACAGAACCCAGCCCAAAGCCCACACAATTGTGACTCCAGCCCCTGAAGCCAGTGGTCTCAGGCCCTGTTGCAAAAGGACAACTCAGCAGACCACACAATAGGAGCCATATCCTTTAGCCACCAGACAGCCCAGGCTGACAAAAAACTTCAGTAACAGGCACAGACGGGACCCGGTAGTCATTACCAAAACTGCAGTTCCCTCCACCCCAGCCTGGGTGAGACATGAGCACCCACCACCTCCCTCTTCAAATGCCTTCTTTCCAGTGCCAGTTCCCACCAGCAGTCCTTCAGCCCTGCTTGCCTACAGGCCAGGGACTCCTGCCCCAGGCCACTCAAGGTTTCCATCCTACCTGGGGCCTCTGATGGACCATAGAAGGGCACCGTCTCTGCTCTCCCAGGATATTTTTCGGGGAAATGGGCCATTGACGAAGACAGGTGGCACAGCACACTGCTCACAGAGTTGGCAGCCAGGATTCCCGGGCTCCAGTTCCCAGTCCGCTACTGTTGGCTGGCTGACGCTGGGTGGGCCAAACTCTCTGCACCTCAGTTTCCATCCTGTAAAAACAGAGCTCATAAAAGCATCTTCTTTGTGGGATACTTGTGAGGGTTAAACGAGTTGATGCTTTACGTGCTCAGGACAGCCTAAGAGCTCACTGAGGGTTTGCTCAAGGAGTGGTTTCCACTCTGCTCAGCCCACACTGTAGACTTTGCAGAAACATGACTATTTTTCAGTAACCAAAGTTAATTTTTTATGAACTCCCACTCTTGTAGGGATGCTGAATCTGCCATAGGTGAGACTTCCCTTCTTTCCCCAGTGTTGTACCTATATTTGGGCAGGAGTGTGTCTCGCCACAGCAGGGGATGGAGGGGACATGTTCTCACTATCACCTCCCCACCGTGGTGCCCACTGAGGTGGCCTTATCGCTCTCTGGATCTAACCACTGACCCAGGGAGGCCCTTTTGGCAGAGCCTGGGGATGACGATGATGCAGACCCCACAGGGCTGTCTGAGGACTAATGAATCAATGCACATGTAGCCCTTAGAACAGGGCCCAGCCCATGCTGGTGGTCATTCCATGTTAGCCACTTTGACCTGGCCATCGGGGACCCAAGGAATGTGGGCCCAGCCTTGCCTCATCTTCCCTTTTATTCCAAGAGAAGCTGTGAAATCTCCCAATTTCTAAATTGGCATTGGATCCAAATAAACAGTGATTGTGAGAAGCAAGCAAGATACAGCTGAGGGCTAGATTTGAACCCTTGGCCATTAGTTTGAGATGTCTGTCCGTTGTGGCTAAGTTTGCCATTCATGGCTAGTCCCATTTTACAGATGGAAGAGGTAAGACCCTGAGTGGTCGAAAAACTTGCAGTATGACGCAGTTGGCTGAGCCAGGACTTTAACCCAGACTGTTGGATCCAGGGTCAGTCCTCTCACACTTGTGCCTTCCATTAACATCCATGGCCTTTAGACAGAGCAGGCTCCTGTTGTCCTCAGCTTCCCTGTGGCTGTACCCGACCTTCTACTTGTATGTACATCACCAAATCCCTGTTCCAATTATGACTGCTGTATAAATATACTGAAATTTAGTAGCATACAACAAGTGAACTTATTATATTTCACAGATTCCATGGGTCAGGGGGCTTGACTGGGTGATTCTTCTGTTCCACGTGGTGTCAACTGAGGTTACTCAATGATATGCAGCTGGCAGATGGCCGATCCAGAGGCTGAAAGATGGCTCCATTCATATGCCTGGTGCCTTGGTGGGGATGGCTGGAAGATGGGGCTCTGCTGGGACTTCTGACCACAGCGCCTCCACGTGGCTCTTCCAGCATGGTACCTCAGGGTATGAGACCTCTTAAATGGTAGCAGGCTCCTGCAAATAAGCATCCCCAAAAGAACCAGGCAGAGCTACCTGGTTTTCCTGGTCCAGGCTATAAGTCACTGAGCGTCACCTCTGCTATACTTTATAGAACAAACCAGTCACCAGCCCACCTAGATTGGTGGGGAGGGGATATAGACATGCCCCTCACCAAAAGAAGTGTCAAAAATTGTGTGGCCGTTTTTCTTTAACTGCCACAACCCCTGAGGTAACTGTAAAGTTCAAGAGCACAACAAATTTATAAGATGGATTTATCCCGGAAAGGGCTGCTCCTTCTCAAAAGGTGGCCTCCCACTTAAATCCCACGGATCCTCAAAACCCAATTCTTTCATCTGCATTCTGTGCAAATAAGCCTCATTTGTCTTCATGACCCGTGAGCATGCAGACCTAGAAACACTTTTTTTTTTTTTTTTTGGAATTCTGATTGGGAATTCTTCCAGGCCAGAACCAGGCAGTTCTTTAAAACAAGGCCTGTCTTACCGATTTGCATGCATCCACCATCACTGGGGACCTCATTGCCTGAGGCAAAGGTCCCCAGCCTTTTTGGCACCAGGGAACTGTTTCGTGGAAGACAGTTTTTCCATGGGGAGAACTGATTGTTTCAGGATGAAACAGTTCCACTCATCAGGCATTAGCTTCTCCTAAGGAGCGCACAATCTAGATCCCTGACATGACTGAAGTTCACAACAGAGTTTGAGCTCCTGAGAGACTCGAATGCCACGGCTGATCTGACAGGAGGCAGAGGTCAGGCGGTAACGCTCTCTCGCCTGCTGCTCACCTCCCACTGTGCGGCGCAGTTCCCAGCAGGCCACGGGCTGGTACTGGTCCACGGCCCGGGGCTTGGGGAACACTGATAAGCCACCTATAGTCAGGCAGAGAATCAAGCAGTGACCTAAGCTCACAACTCAGCCGCGGCACTTCTTCCTCACCTGGAATTCTGCCTCTTCACAAAAGCCCCATGACTGCTATTAGGTGGAGGTGCTTGTCACGCCTGAGATCCATCCTCTCCCCGTTCAGCCTCCAAGCCCTGATCCTTCCCTGAGGCGCCTCCATGCCACAAGGTCAGGTCACGTGTTTCCAGTTGAACTGGCCCCGCCTCCTGCTGCAGGGCCGTCACATGATCCAGGTGCCACCAATCAGAACCTCCCATTCCCCTGGTCTCCATGATTGGTTCAGAGATGGGCACATGACCCGGGCCAAGCCAATGGGACTCCTCTTCAGGCCTTTTGTTGGAACTTCGGCAAAAAGTCAGACTGAAGCCTATGCAGAAGGAAGGAGAGGTTGTAAAAGAATAGGAGATAACATTTATTGAGCACCTGCTATGTGCCCAGCACTATTTTATTGGCAACATGGTTATTTCACTACCATCACAGCCTCATGAAATACATAGTATTCTCTTTCTTTTCTTTTTTTTTTTTTTTTTTTTTGGAAACGGAGTCTCACTGTGTCACCCAGGCTGGAGTGCAGTGGCACAATCTTGGCTCACTGCAACCTCTGCCGGCTGAGTTCAAGCGATTCTCCTGCCTCAGCCTCCGAGTAGTTGGGATTACAGGTGCCCACCACCACGCCCAGCTAATATTTGTATTTTTAGTAGAGATGGGGTTTCAGCATGTTGGCCAGGCTGGTCTCGCACTCCTGACCTCAGGTGATCCACCCGCCTCGGCCTCCCAAAGTGCTGGGATTACAGGCATGAGCCACCACGCCCAGCTGAGATGCATAGTATTATTAATCCCCACATTTCTAAATGGGAGAAAGGAGGTTCAAAGAGGTTAAGTGAGGTCTGTGGTCACGCAGGAAGAGGCAGAGCCATCACTCACATCCAGGCACTTGGTTCCAGAATAGTGTTCCAGATTTAAGAAACCTTCAGGATACCTGGTTACGTTTTAGTTTCTGATTAGCAATAAATACTTTTTGGTATAAACGCATCCTATGCAATATTTGGGACGTTCTTACACTGAAAAACTAGCTATTCATTGTTTTTCTGAAACTTACATTTAACTGGGTGTCCTGTATTTTATCCAACAACCCAATTCCAGAGCCCATGGTCTTAACCACTATGCCCTACTGCCCATACAGATGCCATGAGAGATGTTGAATCCTGATTACATTGACCCAGCCCTGGATCCTGCTGTGCCTGAAGCCAGTGATGAGAGATGGCTTTCTGTCACTTGCATCTGAAGAGTTCTGACTGACACAGTGCTATGCCGAATTCAAATGAGCACTTTATCGAGCCCTGCTCTGTAGTTGGGACCAAGGGATGGGAGATACAGTGGAGGTGAAGGAGGAAGATTGCCATCCTCAAGGACCGGAGTGGGGCTGAGAAGACAGAACTCACATGTCTGGAGGTGCTAAGTAGAGTGTGCCGCACACTGAGGCCTGGGCCACTGGCCGAGTGTGTTAGTGCTCTACTGGTGCATGGTAAATTATCACACACTTAGCAGTGGAAAACAGACCGAGACTCTGTTGTGCTGGGGTGGGAGCAGGAGACAGGCACAGGGAGGCTACAGAGAGAAAGAAGGGGCAAGGGAGGAAAGGAGAGAGGGGGCCAGCACCTGTGAAAAGAGGAAACGAAACAGGGCTGGTTGCTGCCTCCTGCTTCTTAAAGGAAACCACCTGCCCATCCAGGGCCCACCTCCTCAGCCCTCAGTCCTGTTACTGTGTGCAGCGGGTTCCACACCTGAAGGGGCTATATGACCCAGGCCTAATCAATCAGCATATTGTCTCCTCCTGGCCAGTGATTGGCTCAGGTTTGGTCATATGATCCAAATAGCCAATAAGCTTCAAGATGGGGACTCAAGTTGAAACTACTTGGGGGAAATCTTTCTTCCCCTCTTAACACTGTGAGGACATAAGCCTGGAGCTGAAAGAATTCGTCTTGCCATCATTAGAGGAGAGTCCATCTGAGAATGTCAACACAGAGGAAGGCAGAGATGAGATGGAGAGAGAGAACACTGATAATGTCATCAGAGCATCTGGATCCAGCCACACCTGAAGCTAATCCTAGCATTGGAGTTTTCAAAATGGTGAGCCAATTACCCCTTTTCTGCTTGAGCCAGTTGGTGTTGGGGTTTCTGTTACTAGTAGCCAGCAAAATATTTAGTCATGATTGAAAAAAAAAAAAAGGGGGATGCCAAAAACAAGGGGACCAGGCCCCGCAGGTAAATAGTGAGCAGGGTTGGTGAGACTGATAAGCACAGAGCCTGCAAAATGGAAACTGGGTCCAAGCCTCGTGGTGCCACTTGACAACCACTCCCTTTTTCTCTCCCAAAAACCCAACATGACTTGTGATCTTAGTGTTTGAGCCAGGGAAAGAAAGAAAGAAGTAGGAGGGAGTCCCAAGATGAAATCGTTTGGAAATAGTCCCAGAGCATAATGAATTGACTAACACCTGTTTCTCCCCTGGAAGTCATCTAATGAAATTATTAGACCATCAATTTACCACCGTGATGGCCAAGAGTGCTCTTTAACGGGATAAACCGTGACAACAAAGCCAGAATTCCACTTGTAATATGCCTTACACACCTTTATTTTATTTTTTTGTTTGTTTTTGTTTTTTCTTCACTGCAACCTCCGCCTCCCGGGTTCAAGCGATTCTCCTGCCTCAGACTCCTGAGTAGCTAGGATTACAGGTGTTCACCACCATGCCCGACTAATTTTTGTGGGTTTTTTTTGTTTTTTTTGTTTTTTTTGTTTTTTTTTTTGGTATTTTTAGTAGAGATGGGGTTTTGCCATGTTAACCAGGCTGGTCTCAAACTCCTGATCTCAGGTGATTTGCCTGCCTCAGCCTCCCAAAGTGCTGGGATTACAGGTGTGAGCCGCCATGCCTGGCCATTAAACACCTTCTTTAACAGGCCTTTACTTATGATTCTCTTTAAAGTTTGGACACACATTGGCAGGAAGCTTTTAGAAATCATTTGCACTAATCTAAAAGGCAGTCATGGCTCAGAGTAAAAGAATCTCAGCTCCTCAAAGCCAGCTGAAGCTTCTGAGGCCTAATCAGACAGGCTCCTGATCATCTTTGCTGTGTGTTCACTGCCTGTCTGCTGGATGGTCAGAACCCTTCTCATGTTTTGCGCACACATGGTGCTCAGGCACAGTGAGAGGAGAAGAGCAAGAAGGGAAGGAGGAAGCTGGTGAGCCAACGTCCTGTCGTCACTGGGCTTTCACCAGCCAGCGCCCAATGCAGACCCACCTGCCGCCCCTACTGAGCCCAGCAAAAGGAGCTGCCCTCGGCACGATCTTCCAAATGCTCATCCAATGATGTCACTGCTCTGGGCACCCTTAGAATGTGGTCCATGCCCAGCACTGCGATCCCACCTGCTCTCCCACTCTCTTGCCACCTGTATTAGTCAGGGTTCCCTAGAGGGACAGAACTAATAGGATAGGTAGATATAAGGGGAGTTTATCTTAAAGTATTAACTTACATGATCACAAGGTCCTACAATAGGCTGTCTGCAAGCTTAAGGAGCAAGGAGAGCCAGTCCGAGTCTCAACACTGAAGAACTTGGAGCGTGATGTTCGAGGGCAGGAAGCGTCCAGCACGGGAGAAAGATGTAGGCTGGGAGGCTAGGCCGATCTCATCTTTTCACGTTTTTCTGCCTGGCAGCTGATTAGATGGTGCCCACCAGAATAAGGGTGGGTCTGCCTTCCCCAGCCCACTGACTCAAATGTTCATCTCGTTTGGCGACACCCTCACAGACACACCCAGGATCAATACTTTGCCTCCTTCAATCCAATCAAATTGACACTCAGTAGTAACCATCACACCCCCATATTCTCCAAATAGCCTTTCTTGTTCCTGTAGTTCAGTTCATTCCCGTCTCAGGACCTCTGGCTGGCTGGTCATCCGATGATCTTCACATGACAGTGTCAGGCCTCCTAGGCTTCGGCTTCAGTGTCACCTAAAGGAGGCCCCCGACCACTGTGGCTAAAGAGCATCCTGTCCCATCAGACCTCCTCTTGTTTCCTGTTGGCCATCTGTCCGCCTCCACGAGGCATACCCTCTGTGGTGCAAAGAGCTCAACTACCCTGGTGATCACTGGGTCCAAGGATAAGCACAGATATATCCGTTGGACACCTGAGTTAGTACCTGGTCCCCGGGCTCTGCAGAACACTGAAGAAAAGCCACTTGATTGGGACACAGAGCTGTCACTGCACTGAAAACCACTGAGGGCACAGGCTGAGGTCCGGTGGCCATGAGCAGCTGCAATTGGTCAGTGTTCTGTGAGAACGGGGAAATCGCCCTGCTTGCCTGCCTGTCTGAATGGGCATTGGGCTTTCGGGATTCAGCTTGGACTAGAATAGAAACTACATTCTGACATCCTCACAGCTCTGTTCTTTGGGGTTTGGGGATTTGGGGTTTGTTTTTTGAGAAAGAGTCTTGCTCTGTCACCCAGGCTGGAGTGCAGTGGTGCAATCACAGCTCATTGTGGCCTCAACCTCCCAGGCTCAAGGGATCCTCCTGTCTTAGCCTCCTGAGTAGCTAGAACCACAGGTGCACGCCACCATACCCAGCTAATTTTTAAAAAATTGTTTGTAGTCAGGATCTCACCGTGTTGCCCAAGCTGGTCTCAAACTCCTGGACTCAAGCAACCCTCCTGCCTTGGCCTCCTCCCAAAGCGCTAGGATTACAGGTGTGAGCCACCATGCCTGGCTTTTTCGGGTTTTGATAGGCATGCATTCTCAGCTTTAAAGGCACATACACTCATATTCACACACATGTTCACACACATGTACACATACATTCACACACGTACACATACATTCACATACACACATAAGGCCAAAGTTGTAAAAACCAACATGTTTGCCTCACAAACCTCACAGTCCACCCTTCAAAATACAGAGATGCAAACACAAGCAGCATCGCCTCTGCACACGTGTACACGCACGCTCCACCCCAGCTGATTTTCCAGCTCCCGGGCAGCAGGACCCAGCGGGGTAACCCCCATCCCAACTCAAGTGAAGCAGCAGCCGCCCAGGAGTCGGGCACAGAAGCAGCCAGATTCCTTCATTCCTGTGGGAGGGGCTGCAACTGTCCCTCATCACCGTTCCCCACCCTTCCTTGTCACAGAGCCATCTCTACCCACCACGAGAGTTCTGGGAGGGCACCCATCACCCTGCTGGGCAGCACATCTCCCCGCCTCCTACACAGCTGATTGCAGTTGGGTGACAAGGTTGTGGCCAAGGGGGTGAGGGTTAAGGTTAGGTCACCTCTTCCATGACTGTGGTGAGCCAGCATCTTCCAAGTGGACAAGACCTGCACACCAGTGGGGGAAGCAGCCATTTGGAAGCCCAGGTCCTTGGGTGACCTTGCAAAACAAAGCCACCTGCCCACCCCGGCCCACCCATTCACCTCAGAGTGGTGACAGGAGGGAAGACATGTTCCTGATTGAGCCAGATTTGGTGGCA